TTGCGACCTTCAGATGAGTCACATATTTGATGCCCATTACTTGGTGCGTTTATTTTCTTATGGAAATATAAACACCTGGTCTTTAAGATATTTGAATAAATTATATAATGTGTAAATGCCCAGAGGGATAATTTTAGCGTTTCCTTTTATTCTCATAATTTTCATTAGGTTGAACAATAACCAGAAGAATAATAAGCAGTGGCGGATACAGAGGGGGGGTCCATGGGGCCCGGGCCCCCTAAAATATGTAAATTATGTTAAATATTAAGCTTTCGAGATAAAAATGGCGCCTTAAAAAGCATATTCTACATTACTTTTTATTTTGGGCCCCCCATAAAATAAATTCTTGTATCCGCCCCTGATAACAAGAGTTGGATGCTATTCTTTTTAGATACTGTGCTTGTATATATTTAACAGTATTACGTTTTTAATAATAAAATATGAAATTAAATACACACATGGCCGAAATTATTGCATATATCGTTTAAAAATATACCGGACAGGAATTTAAAGAATCTTTTTTTATACATAGCTTTGATAATCTGTAATAAACATTTTTTTTGTTAAAATGGATATGGTAAACAATGTTAATCGTTCAGACCCAATATTATTACAAATTCTTGCACATTTCGATTTGTGGTCGCTTGGGTTTCAGAAGAAATTTAACCATTGTTTTTTCCTTAACCCTTAAGTACTAACATATTGAAATAGTCGCGCCTATACTAACAGACCGTCTGAGAGACGCATTAAAAAATACATATTTTGTTTGTGTCTAACAATTTTTTGTAAGTGGAGTGAATCATTAGCATTAAAACTACAGGAAAAAAATATCCAATGCTTATATTATGCAAACATGTTTTATATTTTTGAAATAACAGTACTAGTTTTGGATTTTTTAGATAGAAAAAAAAAGAAAGGAAAATGAAAAACTATATTTATTATTATATTTAGCATATAAAAACCTATCTATTAAGCACAAAAAAAGCAAAAGAAAATATAAAGAATAAAAAAATGACAGTTCTAAAGATGGGCTTGTTCCCTACACACTTTTTTGCGCATTCCAAACAAATTGTTCTCTTCATTTTCTTCGATATTAGTCTACTGATCGTTCACATTCATATTTTCGTCATATATAACAAAACATACACAGCTACATACCTTTAGATATTAGTTAAAAACTGTTTTTTTACCTTCTAATTCGAATTCAGAATTAGGATCGCTGTCTATAGCAAAATTTTCGCCACATTCGGATTCTATGTCACTATTTTGCTATTATCGCTGCCAATCTCTTCAAACCACTTTAAAAGAGTAACCTTGTAATTTTGCTAGCCATACTTCACATGTTTTGGGCTATTAGGTGCTTGATTCATTCCACAAATTAGAAAAAAAAAACTTACGTTAACATTAACACTCCGTCTGTCAGACGGCATCGACAGTTTAAACTAAAATATTTTTAAAACTACACACTTTTGCAAATTGCCCTGCCGGCTTTTAACTTGTTTTGATGGGTATTGAAATTACATAGTTGGATGATAATTAGAAACGGAGAGGAGTGGAGATGTCATATGTCCAGCTAGTCCGTTGCGTCTGTGAGACGGGGTGTTAGTACTTAAGGGTTAAAATGCCTATATAGAAACATTATTTCACAGTTTAATAGAGTCAGAATAGTTACACTGTCTCAACAGGGCTACCGGCAAGTTGCAATAGCTGAAATTGTAGGAGTTAACCAAAGCGATGTTTCGCGAATATTAAAAAAAATCAGGGAAACAAACGAGGTTACAGACCGGCCTGGAAGAGGTAGAAAGAGAGTGACTACTGCTGTGCAAGTCCATCGAATATCCCTAATTGCACGACGTAATCCCCTGTTTTCTAGTACTCCTATTAAAAATGAGTTAGCTCGCATTGAAGGAGTAAATGTTTTAAGAAAGACAATAGCAAGAAAACTTCATGACAGATGATTAAATTTAAGGAGGCCTCTACGTATTCCGAAGTTTAATTTACAGCACAAAATTACGCGACTACAAACACAGAGCAAATGTACCTAACTGGAATTTGGTCATGTTTAGTGATGAAACAAGAATAGGCCTAGTGTCAGACTCGCGACCAACTTTGGTCTGGAGAGCATCTGGGAGACGAGCACGCTTGAACATCGCAGCTCAACCCCTTGTCAAGGGGGAAGCATTATGGTATAGGCAGGTATAATGCACGGAGCTCGAACTCCTCTTGTTTTTATTGATGGCACAATGACAGGTGCCTCATATCTTAGAGACGTTTTAGAGTCTATAGAGTCTGTAGCGGTTCGCGAATTTTGTGAGGAAGAGGGTATAAGAAAACTGTGGTGGCCACCGATGTCTCCAGATATGAATGTGATCGAGCATGTTTGGGACATGCTAAAACGCCATGTTGTCAAATGGAATTATTCCCCCCGTACCTTAAATGAATTGAAAATTGCTGCGCGCGAAACCTGGGAAGCCATTCTTCAACATCTTCTGGACAACTTAATTGAGAGCATGCCACGTCGTCTCACAGCTTGCATTGAGGCTCGAGGAGGCAATACAGACTATTAGTTGTGAGAAATAATTAAAATTGTTTTCAATATTTTCTGTTTAAAATGAAATTTGTTTTTGTTGATTTTCACTCATTATGAAATAAAATTGTAATAACAGCCTAGTTGCACTTAGTTTTTTAATTTTATATTAGTTAGTCGTATAGTAAGCCAATATGTCCAGAAATATAAAAAGAATCATATTAGGTCCAAAATAAAATAAAAATATCGTTATATGCAATAATTTTGGCCATATGTGTATATCATAGATTGTGTGTTCAACAGAGAACAGTTTTCGGTATTTATTTTGTCAGCAAACACCCATAGAATTATTCGGTATGTTATTCTAAACAAATTTCATATACAGGGTGGTGTTCCTAAATGACATGCTAATATTTAAGGGCGTTGTTCTTGGACCTATTCCAAGAGAAAAGCTTCATATGGATGTATGCCCTAAACATCTTAATTTCTGAGGTATAGGGTGGTAAATTTAAAAAAAAACTTTTTTTCATAATAACTCTGATTTTATTAGGTACAGATATCTTTATGAAACTTGATACACGTCTTTTATGCATCAAAATACTTTTTTAGTGTACAAAGAATTTTATTTATCTCAATCAGTGCCGTAGATACGGGTTTTATATTGAATATTTTTAGAGAGAAAAGTGGTACACCACTGACTTCTCTCAAAATAAAAATTATTTTCAAAATCTCCATTCATCTAAATATGTTTTACTTCTCGATTTTTTTCGTCCAACGCATAGTTTTTGCTTAAAAAAATTAAAGTCTTATTTCAGGGTCAAATCGCTGAAAATAATGATGTGGTGACTGTTGTGTGGAAATCATTTCTGCATTGGCTGGAAGGAAATTAAGAAACAAAACAATTTTTTTTGTATATCAAAATAAGCTATTTTGATGCATGGAAGACGTGTATCAAATATACCATCAGAGATATTTTGAAAAAAAATTAGAAAATTTTGCCATCCTGTGTCTTAAAAGTTAAGATGTTTAGGACATATATTTATAATAGCGTGTACCAGCTACTTCGTTCGCGTCGAATTAATAACTTGTAATGGTGATGATAAAGCAAAGCAAGAATTTCCATTAACTTATTACAAACTGGATAAAAGTTTCTCACATTTATGGCAGCATGAGAAAAACCAATATGGCGATATTATTATATAACTTGGTAATATTTGAGGGGTAGTTTCATCTTGTTGAAATTTGACTTTCGAAAAATCCGTTTGCCAAAAATAAGCTTTTTACGTCCAGCAGTTTAAGCAGAATCGTGGTTAAGAAATGACCCAACTTTTTGGAACACCCTGTATGATTTTTTAAAAAATTTCAAAATATGTAAAAAAAACAAATAAATTATGCTGGTCCAAGCGTTTTCCCGAAAGACTAACCGTTTTTTAAATAACAAATATTGTAATACTTGAGGGACGTTTTCATCCTCTTGGAATTTGAGATTCGAGAAACCCCTCCTTACCGAACCTCTACACCCCACAGTTAATATGTTTGTCAAAAATCAGCTTTAAATGTCCAGCAGTTTAAGCAGAATCGTGATTAATCAATGGTCATATTTTATGAAACACCCTGTATAAATTTATAAAAAATCTTAGAATATGTAAAAAAACAAAATGAAATATACGTGTTTAAGCGTTTTTTCGGAAACTTGACCGTTTTTTAAATAAAAAATATTGTAATATTTGAGGGGTGGTTTCGCCCCCTCGGAACTGGAATTTCGAAAAATCCCTTCTTATCGAACCTCTACATCCTAGAATCAACCTGTATGCAAAAATTGAGCTTCTTACGTTGAGTGGTTTGAGCAGGATCGTGATTAATCAGTATGTCAGTCACTTAAGGATTTTATGTAGTATAGATGAAGTTTTTCTCTTAGATAAGTCTAAGAATCACCTCCTTAAATATTAGCCATTAAGAAAGTCATTAAGGAACATCCTGTATACATATGTATGTGGGAGGATTTTCCGATGGATTGCAAATATACTGCAATGAAATGTCTGGCAGGTGAAAAATTGAATAAAATTATTTAAACCATTGCATTGCCCTTATTTATGCAGTACTAAAAAATTGTTTGACGATAGTTTATATTATAATTACACCTGTAAATGGTACTCTGGCTAATGTGCAACATCCCGAAAGCCTTGCCAGACTCGTCCAACGCTCGTTAGGCACGCTAAACTCAGTTAACTACCTGACTCGTGAGTCTGGCGGGGCTTTAGTGATTGTAAATGACAGCCAGACGTGTATTTTCTATGGCCGTGATTCTTAAAGTTAAATAAATTAATATGTTGAAATTCCAATTCTTACAATATTTTCGAATCAAGAGAAAATAGTAACTTTAATATAATGTGCAGGGAATTACTCTGCTGTTAATATTCCGTATATGGTTTAAACAAGAATTGCGTTTTACAATTTGAAATCGTTGTTATAGGTCAAGGCTTCTCACAAAGTATGTACAAGAGGTAAAATTCCTAGTTTAGGATTTGCAGACACAGCGGAAGAAGCATTCAAACAAGGACCTAAACCTTTAAGGCCGTGGGCTAGATTTGCCAAGTAAGTAGACTATATGTATTTAAGAGTCCATTTCACTAGTCCGAAAAAGTAGCAAAATAAGCATTAGGCATTTAACGTTTTATTTAAAACTGGCTACTTATTTTTACACAAATGAAGAAGAAAATTAAAGATAAAGGATGATACTATATCCGTATTGTAGCACATTTTTCGACAACTTCTTTATTTTGAAGATTTTGATGGTCAAACATCAACAAAATATTCCTTATGTTTGGACTAAATTTTCTCGAAAATAAAGACATAATTTAAAATTCCATTACAATACGTAAATAAATTGAAAGTTTTGTGATTACAGTGATATATAATTTATATGGTTTTGTAACAATTTGCTCGGTATTTTATGGGAAATGCCGAAGCTCCGCAAACCTTTTTTTTCTTTCACAATAAGGGGCCGTCCCCTGCCGGAAACACTGCGACCTGTGAGGCCTATTGTGTTTGTTCCCTTTCTATATCTGCACCCATTCTCCTATCCCTGTGCCCTGCACTAACTTATGTAGGTCCTTGATAGGATGGGAGCATAGTTCCTCCGGTTCTAGCCTAGCTTTCCCCAATAAAAAGTTTCGCTTGCGATCCAGAGCCTCGCAGTGACATATTATGTGCTCCGCTGTTTCAGGATCTTTATCGCAGAGTCTGCAGCAAAGACTTCCTTGATACAGGTTGAGCTTGTTCAGGTAACACTTGACAGCCATATGTCCTGTCAAGAGGCCTGTTGTCTGCAAACCTTAATCAAGCCTTAATCAAAGCACGTATGTTTGGAATTTTAGGTGTGGCTTAACACGACAGGATCGGGCTAAGCTTTAGGCAGATTTTTAAAATATAATATATATTTCCTTCGGCCACACACCCGCTTTACCCGACCCGGCTCTTAATTGAAATCTTAGTGGCATTGTATAGTAGGTTGTTCTTTTTCACCCATGTTGCATTGGTTGCGACCTTATTGATAATTTCCTTGCTCTATTGTAGCTTTTTTTTTAAACATTACCACTGCGAACGGCAGCTTTTCATCGCAGAGCAGTCGTGGGTAAGGTATTTCACTAGAGAGGAAACTAATCAATAACAATAAACAAAAAAATATAGATATTGGGCGCCAGGCATGTACAGAGAAAGAAAACACAGTTGTATATTACTTAAAACTAATGACTGTATTTTATTCAAGATGGACTGTGATGGTAAATAGCATTGTACAATTTTAATAATTATTATAGTGGTTAATGTTAATAATTATTATAGTGGTTAATAATTATTATAGTGGTCAACGAAAGTGGTGTTAAGAATTGTACTAAATATCTATGAAAGTAATACCATTACAAGACGTAATGTAATGAAACCTAAAATCTAAATCATATTGTAACTACTAAATCAACATAAATGTTCTTAACAATCTAACCACTAAACATTGTCTGTACGATATTACTTAAGATGTACGTTATTGTTTAAGACTGAAAATGTTTTAAATGTTAAATGTAAAACTAGAACTTAAATCTACACTTAGCTGTTCTTTATGTAATCTTGCTGCAAACAGTAACAGCGTGAGGTGGTCTCGCATCTCTGTACTCGGCCATCCAATACAACAAAAGGGGCCAGAATGAGGACACCATGTATTGGAACAGCCGTAACTACTAACTAGCTTATGGATGGGAACGAAGTAGCATGGGACTCAAGCTACATCCACGCTGGGGCACTTTATATGCAAGAAAAATCATTCCTACTGGGGACACTCGTCCACAGGACATCCGTACATAGGATAATGGTACAAGGGAACACTACCCGTACCTTGGACCATAACCTAGGATTATAACCTTGGAAATAGTCCGTACCTTGGATAATGCCTGTACCTTGGAAATAGTCCGTACCTTGGACTCTAAAAATATGAAACTCTTGTTTAAAACCAAACAAGGTCTAATAAACAAAATAAACCTACCTCGAATTACTTCCGAGGGCTCAATAAAAAACAAAGAAACTGTCCTTTCTTCCATGTAACATTCTGGAGGACAAAAGAAAAGGGACGCCAACGTGCCAGCAAAATACAAATAAAAGTTAAGTTGGGACATCCAAAACTCTACCCTAAAAATATGCAGTAATAATATCGAATCTAAAAGGATAATATCTCATCTTTACCTGTTGGTTTGAAATAGCAGCTGATTCAAATTATACAGCAAGATTTAAATAATCACCCTTTCTAAAAGCCGGAATGCAACAGAGCCGCAAAACAAAGTGAGGTTAAGCACGGAGAGAGTTGACAGAAGCGATGTTGACAGCGCCTCCTCAGAGCGATAACAGGGTTGTGTCAAACGATAACAGGGTTGGCGACTAGGGAACGTAAAAATGACGCCAAGCGTGCCAAATAAATTATCAGGCCTGAACGATACGGTATCCGATGACGATACGCCAGACATCATATATATCATATATAAAAAAGACATGTAACGAAATAAAAACGTTACACTATATACAGGGTGAGTCTTAAATAAGTGAAAATTTGTTCAGGGCTGGTAGATCTCGATAAAAGAAACATATTTTCTCTTTATCATTTTTCAGATAAGTCCATAATAACCGAGTTATTTTTAGAAATAGAGAGAACATTTTTTAAAAAATTGATTTTTTTTGAAAAAATGTTGAGTCACCGGATTTTTTATGTATTTGCATCCCTTTTAGTGCCGTAACCATAGAGTAAAGCCGTAACTATGGTAATATCTGAGATTAAGGAATTATACAGTGGGAAAATTTGCGGTGAACAGACAGTTCTAAAAAGTTTTCGAAAAATATACAGGAAAATTTAAAGAAAAATGCATGATTTTCAACATCTTTTTTTAGCGAAAAAACCGTATAGCCGTGTTCCTGGGGTCGAAATATACCACACCTGAAAATATTTGCACTTATTAATTTAAAAATCGCCCTTTGTTTGCTTCATAATTTTCTTTCATTGTAAATTATTTTTGAAAAAAAAAACCTTATAAATATTCCAAATTATTTAAATGTTTTTCTAAGAATTTAGCTTAAATACAATAAAATATCAATATAGTAAACAATAATTTCTAGGTTAAAAAAATAATTTCTAGGTTAATGACATGTCTAAAACTAGATACTTAGATTAAAAACATTACGTGATGTAAAAGTAACCGCTAATCCTTTGAACTAAACTAGTATTAATATCATTTTAATTGTGTCAATTAACAAAACATTTGTGCCTTTTAGTTTTAGCATTAATTTTCGGCTGTTAAATCTACTAAAACGGGAACTACGGAATATTAGTCACACCTGCTGGAGTATCTTAGGAGTCTATTACCACAGTTTAAATATTATATACTACATGTATATTATATATTCTTTAAACTGTGCTATTACGCTGTACTGTTCGGGTCGCTCTCAGGGGCCGGGTAAAGCGGATGTGTTAGAAGGATATATTATATTTCAGAAATCTGCCTAAAGCTTAGCCCGATCCTGCCGTATTAAGCCACACCCAAAATGCCAAACACACGTGCTTTGATTAAGGCTTGATTAAGGTTTGCAGGGCTTCAGCATTTGCCATAAAACAACGAGCAAGTTGTTACAAAACCATATAAATTATATATCACTGTAATCACAAAACTTCAATCTATTTCCATATCGTAACGGAATTTTAAATTATGTCTTTATTTTCGAGAAAATTTACTCCAAACATAAGGAATATTTTGGTGATGACTGAACATCAAAATCTTAAAAATAAAGAAGTTGTCTAAAAATGTGCTCTAATACGGATATAGTATAATCCATTATCTTTAATTTCCTTCTTCATCTGTGTAAAAATACCTAGCCAGTTTTACATAAAACGTCAAATGCCGAACGCTTATTTTGTTACTTTTTTGGACTAGTGAAATACACTCTTAATAGGCATATTAATATCACAAAAATCGCACGCATGGAAATGTTTCGGCACATATTAACATTTAGCGATATTGAGTGTCGACATTACAGACATTACAGTCTTAAGGAAGTCGCATACTATGCAACAGTTTGCATCATTCATTTACCTTTCACTATGCCCGGCATTAATTTTTATATCGCAATATTTCTTGTAGTACCTACGAGTACTTGTAAGTGATCGTTAAGCCGATATACAATTAATCGTACTATAAAAACTAATCTGCTCCATTTTATTTTAATTTTATCTATACAAAACTTTGTAATTACTTTTTTAACGTTTATTTTCAAATTTTATTACCAGGTAGTACCTAATAAGTAAATACAGAGTGAGTCTTAAATAAGTGCAAATATTTTCAGGGCTGGTAGATCTCGATAAAAGAAACATATTTCCTCTTTACCGTTTTTTAAATGAATCCAAAATAACCGAGTTATTTTACTTTGAAAATTTCCAAAATAATGTTTTTTGATTAAATTTTGAGAACTACTGTATCTTTTTCTGGTTTTCTTTCTTGTAAATTTAATCTACTACCGATGTTATACAGGGTGGTCCGAATTGTATTCCGGAAACTTCGGCAGCATATTCTGCAGATAAAAATAAGTAAAAATGTTCGTATAAATGTATGTCCTAAAATGCTTAGTTTCGGAGATACAGGGTGTAGAAATTTCATTTTTATTTCGATTTTTTCTAAATAATTTCTTGGAGGAAATTTGGGGGAAAATTGGGGTCTGGGAGTTTTTTGACATGAGAAATTTGATTTTGATGTCAATATGACTCCTACTAGTAGAGAGCGCCACCTACAACTGTTTTGAAGCGTAATAACTTTTTGTCCGTACCTGTATAAAACTACCGAGCGAAAGAATATACATCTCTGTGACTTTTTACTTAAAAAATATCTCTTTGTAAAAATCGCTACGAGAGCAACCGTTCTTAAGATATTTAGAATGGAAATAGTAAATACATGTCATTATTGACGAAAAATAAACACGTTGAGTAGATAATGTATATTTCACTAAAATAATAAATTTGGACAATTTTTATTTTTTTAAAATTAATCATAAATTTTTCGGCAAAAATGATG